CCCCAAAACCCCAAAACCCCAAAACCCCAAGAGCTCTATCTATAAGTTAGAAGGAATAAAATTAAAAGGTTGAAAAATTACTATTCGAATTAATAATGAAAGTTATTTATATGATTATCGTCATTTTCTCCTCATTTATGAGAAGTTATCATTTACTTTAAACTCATAATTGTTAGTTTAATCGATTGTGTTCTCGTCTAGGCTTTAATCCTAATCTTGATCACTTAGTATAACAATTTCATCAATAATCTCGAGATTATTGCTGAAATATTAGTTTTTGGTTGCCTTTTTTAAGGCACTTTAGAACTTAGATGAGCTGTAACTAAATTTAATTTGATTCCAGGTCAAATCCGGAGTATCAGATATTTGAACCTTGAACTATCTGAATTAGAGTCCATGATTTGAATCTAGATTCGAATCTAAAAAGTCCTATTTTTATTTTTGATTTTATTCCAAAAGTTACCCATCACTTTTCAACTACTCAGGCAGCTTTCTCTTGCATATTGGCAGAATATTAGGAATTTTGCTATTCATACCAGAAGAAACGATAGTATCTATAGGGTTATCTAAAAGCTGATTTAGTAACTCGACTTGATCTTTAATCTTTCGAGGAATGTAAATTCCTTGCAAATATTGATCAAACATCTCTTTATTGCATTGAAATGACTCATTCCAAGAAGAACCTTTCAAGGTCCAATCCATTTTCCAGTCTGGTGTTTACCCTTCTCTTAAAATTTAATCATACATTCTTTGTATATAGAACTAATAGTCCACCTCGTCATTGTCAAGCATACTATCAATATGTTGGATTAATTCCTCAAAGAGTGACTTATCACCTTGCGAATCTTCTTCATATTGTGTGTAAAAGAGATCTAGCTTTTAATGAAATCTTTTTTTGTTGTTTTTGACAGTCTGAAACGCCATATTTCTATTAAGTTTACTCAAACCTAATTGCCAAGGTAATTTACCTTTTTACAAGTACATCAATAGATAAAGGATAGAGATGATATCATCTTGTTTTGATGCAACTAAATGAATGATGAATTAAAATAAGTTGTCCTACCATTCAATGACATCTAGCCATAGCTGCTGAAATCGAGGTTTCCTTCGAAATAGTCGGCTTTACTTTAGTCTTATTTGTTAATTTTTCTTGAAGCTCCCATATCGATAAAATATAACATGGAAGATTCGCTTTTTGAGTAGTCACAAGACCCTATCATGACATTATCGAGCTTGATGTCCATATGAGAGTGGCCAATATCATGAAGAAGCTTAATATTCGCAACCTAAATTACTTATTTGAGTAGAAAACTTACTAGCTAGATCCCAATTTGTAGAATTGTCTTCATTGAGAGTAATCTCCCCATTTTTATAGTTAAAGTTTACAAGGACTCTCCCAAAAATTCCATTGCAATATAGTTTTTGTCAAGATGAACTCCTCGAGACATAACCTTTGGAAATCCTATAATTTTAAGCTGATAAATTCGTTACCTCTAAGAATCTTGTTCTCACCGTTTAGAAGTTTGTTAAGTATATCCCATTCACTGGTCAGCTATCTGTCATCTTGAACCTAAAAATCTTACAGTAATATAACGTACAAATTTGATGGCACAGTGGGTATTGGTAACTAGATCAAGCGCCTTGTATACTTTAGCATACGAGCCCTGACCAGCGTAGTCTATAATTTTGAATCTTTCATTTAGAATGTAGTCCATGAATATTTTTGATGATCTTTATAAATACTGTGTTTAATAAATATATTGTTTCACACAAATATTGAAATTAAAGCTGTCGGGGTTTTGGGGTTTTGGGGTTTTGGGG